CGGAGGGTGAGAAGGCAGGTACCAAGGTCAATTACATTTGTGAAACTCTGTTAAACGTAGCTATCTTGTATTTACTACAGGACTTCTCAGATCCTTTAACTTGGTCACCTCTTTGTGACTCTTCAGGAGAGAATTTAGTATTTGGAGCTTCACAGACCCTCTTTATCTCAGATCCTTTTTGTTACTGTTCTGTTAGAGCAATTGGGAGGACCTCTAGCCTGGAGGTCCTGATTCCCATCACTTATTATCTTTAAGTGTTATATATGTGTAAAGTCTGACCTACTAGCCAATTTTAGGATCTTAGGTGAAGAAACAAAATCTCCCACTTCTTCTTCACCGCCACCCTTCCAGAGCACCAGGTAGAGTAAAGCAAAATTGTACTGTGAACTCATTGCAACAAGCCATCCCATAACCACAGAGTGGTTGAATGTGATTAAAGCCACAACAGATCTCAGAGCACTGTTCTTGAGGCCAGGAGAGCTGACCCATGTCACCTTGCCAAAAAGCAATTTTCCTGATTATTTTCTGCCTGCCCAGGATTCCTGTGGTTTCCACTTGTAAGGGGATCCTTCACTGCCTGACATCGTTGCTCTCTCACTGCTATGGCAGCAGTTATATCCCAGGACCCCTGAAGCGTTCCTCCCTCCGAGATGGAGGATGCGTTCTCTAGGAATGGCCAAATGCTGATTGCCCACAGGTGGCTCAGCTGCGGATCCATCAGCAAATTGTGGTTATTAATGACTTGATTGCTGGCACTAAGGACACACTCCTCAACCCAAAGCTTTACTTAAAGTGTTTATGCAATATGTAGCAAACCCATGCCATGTGCCAGACTTTTTCACGTCATCTCATACTTTCCGTTTAATTCTTACCCTATATGATTGTGTTTTAACTCTTTATGGATTGCAGGACATAAGTGCTTCTAGTATATTGTCTCGAAAGCAGGGAGATGGGCCGGAAAGAACTGCAGATTGCTGCTCATCATGGTGTCTTCTGAATATCACTGGCAGGAACTCTTTGGCATTCAGTGTTTGAACAACAAAAATAGTTGTGTAAAAAATACAGGCCACCAAGGCTTAAACTTGGAAGACAAAGTGAAAAAAAAACCTTTATAATAAAAGCAATAGTTTTTAAACTAAAGTTCAAAGGGCTAGAAGTTATTAATTCCTGGAGACTTTCTTCAATAAAGGAACTCATTTAATGCAAAAGTACTGTTGACTTTAAAGAGAAGGAGAATGCATTCTACTTAGGATTAATTACCAAGCACCTTGGTAAGGGCATTACATGCATATATTACATGCACATTTTTATATGAAAATAGACACTATAAGATAGGTGTTTTATTATTATCCTCATTCTACAGAGGAGGAAATTAAGACAGAGGAGGTTAAAAAGTTTGCCAAGGTCCTATCGTTAGCAAGAAGCAAGGCTAGGATTTAAATACAGGACTGTCTGACTCCGATCACTGTTGTGCTATATTCCTAATAATTTTGCTGAGACAGTGATCCCATCAGACCTCCTGAAGCCAAGTTGCCTCCGAACATGAAGGGTTACATCTGTTCAATCCTCTGCTGCTCACTTCCCCCCAACAATTCTAAGCTGTACAAACAACTGTCATTTTCCAAATGTGCCATGTCATAGAAAGTGTTGGGAAGCATCAATTTAGCCACCTAGGAAATCACTTTCCGATGAAAAAGCCAAAGTCATTGGGTGGATGGAAACCCAGTCAATGAGTGACTCAATGCACATTCCTCCTCTTTCCCTTAGACAAAGAAAACTAGGCTAAAAAATCAGGAGCTGGTGGGGTGGAGGACAAAGGAGGGTGAAGGATGAAGGAGGGTTGTACAAACTTGGCGGGGTAATTTGGCTAAGTGCCCCTAAGCACTGACTGAGGTTTCCTGAAGTCAAGGGGGTCTTCACTGTCTTGGTCAGGAGGCTATGTCGGTCCAGAACAGGCTGCCATACACTATGGCTAGACCCATATATGGGCCAAACACAGCCCATAGCCTATTTTTGTACAGTCCACAAGGTAAGAATGCTTCTTATGTGTTTGAAAGGTTATAAACAAAGAAGAATATGTGACAGAGACCATTTGTGGCCCTCAAAGCCTAAAATATTTGCAATCTGGCCCTTTACAGAATAAGTTTGCCAACAGCCCCCGCCTAGAATCCGCTCTGTGGTCACCACAAGAAAGCCAGTGGCCAATGAATGAGAAACCAGAATGAAAATCATTTTAAGATTGCAATGGCGTCACTTACAATTGTATAGCCTATATGTAACTCTTTAAGACAGATTCACGTTAGCTTTTAGAGACAAAGTTTCAGGAGTTGGAAAAAAAGAGAAACGGGAAAATAACCTCCTGTTTCCCAATTCTACACCTTCCAGTTTCATAAGTCTCTAGGTATTTGTGAGCTTTTTCCAGGCAGATTCTGTGAGAATGAACAGCTGCAAAGAGATGTTTCTAAGAGGGGAGAGGGGGATCTTAATCATAAGGAAGAAAGAAACCAATTACTTAAGCCTACTATGTACCAAGACCTTTCACACCTGCTGAATCAAAAATCCCATGCACTCTGCCTCCATTATATCTAAAAGATAACACACTGGGTCCCAAAGGGCTAAGTGACTTGTCCAAGATCCTACAGCTAGCTGTTAGGTGCAAACCTGGGCTGCAAATCTTGGTTTTCTGATTCCAAGTCCAGTGCCCCTTTTTCTACACTCAGCTCCAGATAGTGAATTTGAACATGTTTCAGACATAGAATCCAAAATCCAGAGTCCCAGCTAGGCCCTGCTTCCTCATCTGATTACTGAGCATATCAGACTAGAGGATTGCAAAGTCCCTCCCAGTTCCTTACTTGTTTTACTGTTTCTGAGAAATAATGCAAATGAAATGGAAAAGGAAACTCAAGTAGGCCACTTTATGTTCCTGGCTTATCTAACTTCTTTGGGGTGTGAGATCAGTGAAGGTCAGGGGAATTTGTCCAGATTAATTTAATGCCTCTCATTAATTTAATGAGAAATGCATAACCAAAACATGAGTATGGAAGGCTTTCAATGCTGGTAATATGGCAGCCTGACTTAACAAAGACTTTTCCTCACTACAAATACATGTAATGCTAGATAAATATTTTAAAACTTTAAAATGCACAGCCTGAAAAAAGGCCAAGACAGTTCCTAGGTGCCAGAAGCAAAATGAAATTTAAAACCAGAGATGTAGGGCTCCAGCTACATTTAAGGGACCAAGAAAGAATCAGGCCTGGACACTGGTCCCAAGTAAATTTGGCCTGGAAGCTGTTCAGGCTGAAACTGAGACCTCAGCTTAAAATGGAGACTCTGAAAATCCTCCCAGGACTTGAAAGGAGCACTAAAAGAACTCTGTCTACTGTCCAGAGAAGCAACAAGGGAGCACACTATCTCTTCTGGGCTCTAGTTGAAATAGAATATGTATCCTATGGAAAGTCCCAAACCCAATCTAGGTATGGGGTATGAATTTAAGCTATCTCCATGTCATAGGACTCCCAAGCAAGAAGTTAACAAAACTACTGGTCCATGACCAGTATAAACCATGGGAACCTGGAGAGAAGTAAATACAAGACTGCTCTGCAGGGAATTATCCACAGTCCAGGGTGAATGGGACTCTTACCAAAAGAAAAAGTTTAGTGTAAAAATGTGCTAACTATATGATGAAAAAGTATCAGGGAGGAGTATCAGCTGATACAACACATGGAAGAATAATGAACCCAAGAACTAAAAAAAACAGAATAATCTGAAAGACACTGCAAAATAAGTATCCTCAAATTGAGGGGATAAAAGAAAGCATAGTAAAAATCAAAATGATAGGATTCAGGGGTGCCTGGATGGCTCAGTCAGTTAAGCATCTGACTTCGGCTCAGGTCATGATCTCAGGGTCCTGGGATGGAGCCTTGTGTCAAACCCCACATCAGGCTCCATGCTAAGTAGGGAGTCTTCTTGTCCCTCTCCCTCTCACCCTCCCCCACTTAGGCTCTCTCTCTCTGTCAAATAAATAAAATCTTTTTTAAAAAAAAGGACTCAAAAATTTAAGTGAGCAATTTGAATAATAATCAAATAGAACTTCTGGAACTGAAAAGTATAATCATTAAATTTTTTAAATCAAATTAAGCAGCAGATGAGATGCACTTAAAAAGAACTAGTGAACTATTAGATTGATTTGAGAAAATCATCCAGAATAAAACAAAGAAAAATAAGAACATAGACTATATCAAAGAAAGTTTAAGAGACCATGGAGCGTTGACTGATATATTTGGATTTTTAAATCTAAATCAAATATAAAGTCCAGCAGAGGATAGAGGGAAGGGGGTTTGAAGAAACTCAAAGAAAGTAGCATAAAAGAAAATAAACAACAAACCACATAGATACATATACTGGAGTCAAAATTTTAAACAAACAAACAAAACTCTTAAAAGCTCCTGAAAAGAGAGATAACCTAAAAAGAAATAACAACTAGGTTGACCACAAAATTATCACTAGCAAAAACAGAAGAGTTTCTCTTATACCCAACTAAACTATTGTGCCTGAATGAAGGTGAAATAAAGGTATTTTCAAAAATAAGGCTAAAAAAATTTATCACTGACATCCATTGCTGGAAAAGCTATTAATTGGATGTGTTTCAGAAAGACACCCAAATTGAATCTCAAAAGAAATATGAAGAAATGAGCAGAGAAATAAGCATTGACTTAAAACAATGGCAACATAAGAGCCAATCTGGAACAGCCAAAAGCAAGTTAAAGTGAAACACTAAAGAACAATAACATGGAAAATGTGACAAGGTATCTTAAATCCTTGTATTTGGGGAAGCAGAACAAACAAAGATTGAATAATTAGTGAAGTATGCATGAAAAAATTTTTACTGTAGCCAGTAAAATATCTGAAATATAAGGAATACTTTCAAGCCGATACAGGAGGTGGAGGAACAGTGTAATGAAAACAAACAATATAATAAGAGAAAAAAAGGATAAAAAAGAAGAAAAGAAAGAGAAGCCTATGGGCAAGGAGATCTAGAGATCCACTTACTGACCACATTCTAAAATCATTCAGGTCCCCATTGAGGTTGGGCTCCACCTGGTGGTGATTGTCTCCTGGGACTTAAGTATTGTCTAGGAGACTTCTGGGTGGAGTAGCGGGTTGGGGACCCACCTCCTGTGTCCACTGCCTGCCATTTCCCCTTTGCCCAGCATTCTCCCACCTCCACAGAGGACGAGAACTTTAATCCAACCTCCTGATGAAGAACAGGGGCTGGGCAGAAAATGGGAGTCCATCACCAACTGCATTAGACCAAAATTCATGTTTGGGCCAGGATTTATTACATTCCAAAAAAAAAAAAAAAGCTAAAAATTAATATTGAGCATTCAACTCAAAGAGTTAGAAAATGAACAGAGTATCCCAAAGAAAGTAGAAGGAAAGGAATGACAAAGGTAAGGATTTAATGAATTAGAAAATAAATAATAAAGAACGTCTACAGAATCTAAGTTTTTTTTTTTTTTCAGGTGAGTAAAATCAACATCTGGCACAGAAAAAATATATACAACATTACAAATTTTTAAGGCATAACTAAAAAAATGAATTTTAAATATATAAATAATATGACAATAAAGTTTAAAAGTAGATTAAATGGACAATATTACTGTCTTGATATTTAATCATTTTATTGGTTTTTACATCTATCAAAACATATTTGCAGACCTATGCATGTAAATGATGACATGTGATCATATACATGATTTTTTATGTGATCTTATATTTGCTTATCTAAGTATCTAAGTCTTGACCTACCACTTCACCACATGAATTCACATAACCAAAAAATACCCTATATGTTAGAATACACATTTACTGTGAGTAAAACAAAAGGTATCTAGCTTTTTTTCTCAATGAGTTCTAGAGATATTCCACTGCTGGTCCTTCTTTGGCCTTTCTTTCATGGTCTTAAAATGGCTCCTACAGCTTCATGCATCAAGCACACATCCTGGTCAGGAAGCAGGGGGAAGGGAGACATGACGACCAGTAGAATTGTACTTACATCTCTTAAGCCTGACCGTATATCCATCTCTGACTGAAAAGTGGCTATGGAAAAGGGGATTGGGATGGGCTTCCATCAACAAGGCAACATTATCTTCCATACCATGTTTACAAGTTAATTTGTATCCTTCCATATTTTTCTTCCTAGTCTTATAATCCTATGCAGATAAATATATATACATATTCATATATTCACAGCTCTAATGAGGCAAGGAAGTACCGGGAGGTTGCACACGTATTCCTCATTTCCTTCTTGTATAAAAGCAGTCCTAATGCCTCCTGCAAGTCAGGATCAGTGTGGCAGCCAAGAGAATGCACCCAGGACTCTGACTCCAGGGAGTGTAACTGACCAAGGGCCCCAGCTGCTGGCTCTGAAATTTAAGGCTGCCCTTCCCACCAGCTGCTCCTGGCCAGTGACCGGGCATGGCAGGGATACTATGGTGGCCCTTCCTGGGAGACACGGGACTCTGCTGGTGGCTGACTTTGGGTCAAGGGCTCCCAGTGACCTTGTTGAGACTTCTGAAGATAGCACAGCAGTCTAGGGCCCTTCCACCCAACGTTTGCTCCCTCTCCACTTCATTCAGGACGAGACTTGCCTCGCAGTCTGACCACTCTCCCAGCCTCACATGACTCATTTTCTTTCCTTGGCTTTTGCTCCAATAAAATCCCTACGTGTTTAATCCTGCCTTAGTGTCTGCTTTTCAGAGGACCCAGACTAACAGTAAATTACCATTGTCAGTATGATGACTCTCTTCTTGCCTACCAGAACCTGGACACCACTGTAACTTGTAGCTCAATGGGCACCCTGCTGTGCGCCCTGGCAAAAGTGTTCCTACTCGGGGGATCAAGACCTTCAACTCTACAGAAGTAGACTTAAAGGGACAAGAAACATAAATTCCACCAGTGAGACCATTCTTGCCTCCACCACTTGATTCCCAGACCTATTTCTTCTTCCTGTGGGTGACATGGCGTCGTATAGAGACCTATGAGTTAATATATCTACTATAGGCTGAAGAATGATAGCCCATCATCACAAAGTATTAGCTCTGAGCTGGAGCACCTGCTGCACTGTTAGAAGGCTGTGCCACCTAAGATACCAGCTGCTTCTGGATGGTGCAGTATGTGATACAAACATGGAGCCCATTATCATGGCCCCACTCCCACACCTCCCTCACTGTGAAACGGGTCTCCTGGTCTGACACTAAGTTGTGTGGGTTTCCACACCCTTGAGTAGGTATTCTGTAAGCTCCTGGGGAATGGAGCCTAGATAAAGGCTCTGCAGGTAGAAAAGGCAACCCTGTACCTAAAACAGGCATCTGTGGTAGGCAGCCTCCAAAATGGTCCCCAGCAATTCTCTCCTCCCCATATTCACACCCCTGTGGAGTCTCTTCTGCATTAAAAAGGGCTGATGTGGATAACCAACAGGATATTGCAGAAATGACATGTGTGACTTTGGAGGCTATGTCCTAAGAGACATGTGGCTTCTACCTTGCCCTCTTTTGGGTCTCCTGCCCTGGGCAAAGCCAGCCATCACCATGCATTAAGACACTCAAGGAGCCCTATGGAGACATCTGCATGGTGAGTAACTGGGACTTCCTGCTGAGAGCCGGCATCTGACTGAAACCTTACGCAGCCCCCTAGCCGAACTGCCCAGTTACGCAATTCCTAAATTCCTGACCTACAGAAAACGCAAGAAATGAGAAATGCTTTTCTTGTACTAAGTCACTTAGTTCTGAGGTGATTGGTTATGCAGTTGTTAAATAAATTGAATAATCCCCAAATTAGCCTAAAGATTTGGGCATCAGTACCTACCTAGCTCCTAAACAAATCATCCTACTTCTTTTTCTACATGGAAGTCAAAATAATTCTATGTGTCAAGATATGCTCTATAATAAACCTGATTATTCTTCATGAGTCCTTCATCTCTATAGAAAATACAGAAGTACATAATCAATTTCCTGTGTTACTGAATAAAGAATAGACATTCTTGGGGTGCCTGGGTGATGCAGTTGGTTAAGCATCTGACCCTTGGTTTTAGGCTCAGGTCATGATCTCAGGGTCATGAGATCGAGCCCCACATGGGGCTTCACACTCAGTGCGGCATCTGCTTAAAACTTTCTCTCCCTCTCCCTCTGTCCCCTCCACCCCTACTCCCTCTCTCTCAAATAAATAACTCTTTAAAAAAAAAAACAACAGACATTCTTCCCATAAGGTTTTTCAAAATGTAAACATACTAGATGTAACAAAATTACTAGAAAGACAACAGAGAGGGATTTTTTAAAAATAAACCTGATGCCATTAATTGCCATCTTCATCTTGTTTTATTCTTGGGATAAACCTAAGATTCTGTGGGCCACAAGAAGAATGCAAACACTATTGTCCTAGAAGATTTCTATTACTTAAAATCTTTTTCTGATGATATTGGTGGTGATATTATCAATATGACATTTTGATATTCTATAATAAAATATGATAACATTTGGAAAATCAGAATAACTTAAGGAACCAATATTTCTCAAACGACTAATTCATGATGTTACAAAATTACACATAGGTAAAAGATGTATTAAAAGTACATGGTAGAAAAATAGATTTCAGTGTAAAAAATATGAAAAGTTTACTGATATGGTTTCAGATTCTACATTGCAACTAATCTTTAAAAAACACTCAATTTTCAAGTTTTATGTAGCTAAGAAAAACATCCACAATTATCTGAAAAGACGATGAAAATACTTCTTTTTTTCCAATTAAATACCTGAGTGAGGCCAGATTTTCATCATATACTTTGACCAAAACAACATAGTATAATCATAATATAACCATTCCATAGATGGAAAGCAGAAGCAGAGATAAGAACCTAGCCACAAGCCAGACACGAAAGAGATCTGCACAAATGTAAAACAACATCACGCTTCTCACTAATTACTTTTGTTTGGGAAAATATGGTAAATTTTCCACAACAATATGTTACGCTAACATGTAATGGTTTCATATTTAAATAAGTTAATATGTTTTAATGTTCTTATTTCTAATTTCTAATACTGTATATAAACATTTAACTCACAAAAAAAGTCCTTTTGGAGGGTCCTCATTAATTTTTAAGAGTGGAAAGGGGTCAGGAAACTAAAGAGTGGGAGGACTGCTGACTTTTTGCAGCCTCATGAAATTGGAATTACTGTTATCATCACCATTCTACAGATAAAGAAACTAAAGTTTAGAACAGTAATTGGCTCAAGGTTATACAGAAGATGTCAAGTGGCAGAGGTAAGATTCAACTTAGGCTTCCTGGCTTCCGGGCCCAGGTCCTGCTGTACCATGTTGCTGGGGATCAGTCAGATAAATCAGCTATAGTAGCCCCGAGGGTTGGCTTCATTATCACACTCGATTTCCCCCATTCTCAGGGTACAAAGTCCCAGCCTTGCTCTCCTAGGATTACTGGAAAAGGCAGCATAACCCCTTCCAATATAAGAGCTCCATGAGTGGAAGCAGGTTGGTGATTGTCAAGGTCAGTACCATGGTGTGTACAGGGAGGAGTGGGAGAAGCGGTCAATTCTCACGTATCATCCAAGTTATCTTAGGTATTTGTCCAGATTCTCTCAGCAATTAGACTTGGTATTTTCCAATGGGGTTGATTTTGGAAACGGTGATCTGATCAAAAGCCAGGAGCTGATCAAGTTCTTCTTCCCTGCCTCTAATTCTGTCCTATGCCACATGGTAGATACTGGACTCATGTAGCTATTTATATTTAAACTCAAATAAGTTAGAAAGCAATAAAATGAAATTTTAAGTTCCTCAGTCTCACTACTATATTTCAGGGGCACACACCGTACAAGTACCTTGCATGTCCTGGGGGCCCTGGAAATGTATGTGGTCTGATGAGGAATGTGCTACCTTTGCAGTGAGTTGAACCTGGGCCATTAGACAACGAATATTCCCCAGATGGCGGTGGTGATGGCAGTGAGGGTGACAAAACGTGCCAAGGACCAACGTCTGGCCTTGGGATTTACAAATGTTGGGTTTCTGATAATGTAGTCCTTAGATTTTCTGCATCAGATTCCCAGCTGGGCCTTAGCCCTCCTGAGCCAGAATCTCTAGGAGCAGCATTCTGGCCAAACTGACTCAGCTTTCCCCCAGCAGCATTGGGATTTTTCATTTCCCAAAACCAATAACCCTTGTCTTTCCATGTCATCTGTAGAGGTACCAACATGGGGCCTCGGACCTCTCCTGGGTTAGGAGAATTTCAGTGGCAAGCCTGTAAGGATCCAGTTGCCTGAGCTTCTCCTTTCATTTACCTTCTGTTAGGTTTCCTTAGGAATCGTTGGGGGTGGAAACTCCAAGCAGGCATGACTGCAACCATGTGTACGTTCCCTCTCCCTTAGGAGATGGAGAAGAGACCGGGATGTGCTTCTGAAAGGATTAGGAATCTCATTAATCAATGTGGGTGGGGCTGATGGGAAAAAAAAAAAAGCTTCAGCAGATGGCAAGCTTGACTCAGAATTTTCTGAAACTCTTCAAAGAGTAGTCGGGCATTCTTGTTTCACAGGATCCTTGCTATACATGACTTCCCTTAGCTCAGAATAGAGGGTTACAGAAGCCTTCACTGGCCCCAGCCAAGGAAGTCAGATTAGCGGAAGTACCAGAAGTACTGCGTGAGAACACAGGATCACTGAGAACACGGGCCTGGAAAGGGCATCTCCAGGGCCGTCCTAGTGCAGGGTTCCAAGCTCCGCCATGCCGGATTGGGACTTTCATGATGAGACGAGATGCTGAACCTTGTGGGGCCAGGTGAACGCAAAGTGGGCTGAACATTCTGGAATGCAAAGTAAGGCTCACACTGGCAGAACGGCGGCTGAGCCCTGGCCTCGAACAGCTCCTTGTTGACGCCGCCCAGGAAAGCCATGGATCCTTCCTTCCTATGAAGATGTCACCAATTAGGCATGTATGAAGCCCGTGGTCCGTGCAGAGGAGCATGCATGGTGCTCCAGGGTGCAGAGTAGGAAATAAATGAAACAATACTTTCTCTGCCCATGAAAGGTATTTATGCTCAATTAGAGGTGAACAGTGGGGCTATGAGGGAGAAAAATAAGTAAACATGAAATTAGAATGTGGTCCAAATAACATTAGTGAGGTTTAAGGAAAGGGACTCATAAAGGCAAAAAAAAAATGTTTTTAATGGTGATTATACTTTAAAAGAGGTTGGTTAAGATGAGCAATCTAAAAATTAATTCTTGGCTAACTTGGAAATTGCAAAGAGGGGTGTGTGTGTTGCGTGTGTGTGTGTGTCCGCACGCACGCACATGCCCAGAAGCCGAGCCACATCCTTCTCCCCCTGTTTCCTCAGGGTCAGCTTCCTTACCACAGATTTCTTTCTTTTTCTCCCTCTACCTTAATTCTTCCCTTTGTCATGCCAGCTCGGGGGGCCCCCTGACTTCACTGATGAAAGGGATGGGAAAACAAATATTATTTCTTCCTGACTCTGAATTCCTTCCCTGCCCTGCACCCTTCTGCTCCTTCTACCCTTACCTAGCCAAAGGTCACCCTCACATCTTGCTCCAACAGTTTGGGATTATTTCCCAGTGTGTGGTAAGGAGAATTCTAGCGCCAGCAATCCCATGCCATTTTTGGATCCAAATACGTTGGCAGCCAAAGAAATGCAGGCCAATACAATCAAACCTTCCAGGGAGCCAGCCACTCTTGGATCACTCGGCAACCGGCTCCTCCTCACATTTCACCCTTCACTCTTGTTTTCTTCTTCATTACAATGACAAGCAAATTATACTTGGGTCACAAGCATGGACCTGGCAAAGGGTGTTAAGGCCCCTGTCGCTCTTTCTTCTCTGAACCTTTTGCTTCTCCCCGGGACCTCCCTGGCTGGGATGGATGCAGTTGCGCTCCTGTGAATAAGAGTATGAGGCAGGGGCCAATGTGACCAAGTCTCTGTCATGTGGATTAGAGGGTCTTCTTATCCCTTGGTCTAGGTAATTGAGGCCCTAGCACGGGGCCTTGTTTGGAGTCCCTGTTCCTGTTAATAAATACTGATCTAGTAGTTGTTTGGTGTGGGTTCTAATGATGAGCCACAGGAAAAAAGAAGTCCACCTCTCCCAAAGCTTGCCAACTTCCCGGAGTGTCTGACAAGTTGTGAAATGTCAGTGATTATTAGGTCACTGTTGTTATGGTCAGGGAGGGTAGATCCACTTGGCCATGTTCACTGGTGCTAATGACATCAAGGATTAGTCCCCAAAGGCCCCAAAAGGATGCCTTTGTATAAAGAAAAATGTCCTGTGCAGCCCCAACTCCCCCTGTCCTTGGTCAAGGGCTGCAGTGTGGCCTTGGTCTAGCCCTAGCAGAGTGGTCATGGAAGTGGAAGACAGGGAGGTGGGAGACTTCAAAGGGAACATCCCACTGAAGGCTACCAGTGGCCACAGGAGCAAATAAAAGCAAGCATATTAGCATCATAACTGTTTCCTCCTCTTCTCTGTCCAAGCCCCAGCTGGCCTTTCACCCACAGATGAGACCCACATCAATGTCACCACAATCCCTTGGGCAAATGCTCCTTTGTTAACTTTCCTGCCTCCTCTACTTGTTTCAATGGGACTAGAGACAAAGAGCTGCTCCCACACATACACGCAAGCTGTGGGACCTTGGGCAGGTTATTGAACCTCTCTGAGCCTCATGCTCCTCATCCGCAGAGTAACAGAATGAAAATATCTACCTCATAACCCTACAATGTGACAATCAAATTAGATAAAGCATGCAAAAGTGCTGTGTCGACTGTAAATTGACCTGAAGCTGCCATCGTTGTTTCTTGAGTGAACTCCTGCTCCAGAAGGGAAAAGAAGCTCCTTTCAAATGCTTCCTGCTGGTGGTAAAATCTACTTTTGCAATTCATAGGAATCAGACCAGCTGGAAGGAGGGCAGAGGCGGTGTTTCTAGCCCAGATGTGTGCATAATAATTATAATTATATGCTAAGAACCTACTGAATCAGTCATCAGGAGTGGCCTAGGTGTACATGTTTCCCCCACTATCCAAAAGTGGAACATTCCAGTGGCATCTCTGGTAAGCAAAAATGGCATAAAGTAAAGAAGCAATTACCGTTAATTTAGAAGGAAAAACTTTTTAGTGCCAAGATCCAAAAATAACCTCTCTTAGGCCTTTCTGATACCTTAGGACACAGTTTGCTAACGGATGCACAAAATAAATAGAGATCAAGGACAGATGGCCCCAGAGTCCCAAGCTCTGGCAGCTTGATGCTGAGACGTGAAGTGTAGTTCCCAGGCCAGCCGCTTGGCGGAGCCACTCTCATGGCTAAGGGTGCGCGCCCATATAAGGACTCGCCCGCAAAGCAAATGCTGGACGCTCTTTTTGCTTTTCATCATAAAAAGTGCAAATCATCTTTGGATTTCTTTCAGTTAGCAAAAACAGGTACAGGCCTAATGTAGGTCTTTCGTAAAAGCAAAGTAGTGTAACGCAAACTTTCGAAAAGTAAGGGATACCTGGATGTACCTTAACTCCTCGGTTATAATTCTGAGGATTAGCCATGCCGAGAAGCCCTGGGCCCGTCGTCACTCCCACATCCCTTAGCCTAGGGCAGGGTTTCTCCAACTTTTCTTTTTTCTTTTCTTTTCTTTTCTTTTCTTTTCTTTTCTTTTTTAAGATTTTATTTATTTATTTGACAGAGAGAGTGAGAGAGGGAACACAAGCAGGGGGAGTGGGAGAGGGAGAAGCAGGCTTCCCGCTGAGCAGGGAGCCCGATGTGGGACTCGATCCCAGGGCCCTGGAACGATGACCTGAGCCGAAGGCAGACGCTTAACTGACTGAGCCACCCAGGCGCCCCTCTCCAACTTTTCTGATAAGAATCACCTGGGATACCTGCTGAAAATACAAATTCCCACACTCCATTCCAGATGCCCTGGATTAAATCTTGGGGGAAGAAGCCTAAAAAGTAGGTGAATCTTATCAAGTTGGGAAACAGCCTAAAGTTTCTCAAATGCTCAACGCATATAAGAATTAACTGAGAACTTTTTTTAAGAAATGAAGATGGCTAGGCGTGCCTACTCTAACTGAAGAAATTCCATTTGGAAAAATCTGGGATTTTCACTTTTAACTAGCACCCTCAGTTGTTTCTCAAGTCTGCTACTCCATGGAAAATGACCTCAGAGAGTGGAGGATAAGTCCTAAGTAAAGTCAGCTCCAGCTCCTATGGACACTCTTGTTTGAACTTCCTGGTGGCTGTGGAGAAGGTTTGACAAATTCTGAGAAGGGACAATCCTAAACTGTTCCAAGTCTTGGCAATGAAAGCTCTAAAGTGGGGCAGTGGCATGAGATGCTAAGACAAGCCAAGCAATGCTAGCGTCCAGAGAAGCTGTGTTCCAAATGCTGCTTCCTGGGGCTCCACTCCTTTTGTTTTGTTTTGTTTTGTTTTGTTTTTATAGTGGGCTCCACTCCTTTAAGCCATGAGCCAACTCACCTGTGCCACTGGCCCCAAGGAAAAGCTTTCTTGTCCTGGCAGTATGGACATCCAGTAGGGCCCATCAACTGTCTACACACCTGGGAAGCTAGGCAAGTTTTCCTTTGGCATTTATACTCTTCGCTCCCTCCCTGCCACAATCTTGGATCCTATGCCTGTGGGACCTGCAGACTAGCCACCCAGAGTCCACGATGGACTAAGACCCCTCAGGGCACATGATGTAGTCCTTGCTCATGTATATTTGTGTCCCCAAGCAAGGAGCCATCAGTTACAGAAAATGTGAAGGGTAAGGGCATTTTCTTCCTTTCCCTAAGTTCCTATCAGCACACAGATGAGAATTTCTGCTCTCTCCAATACATTGAAGCAAAACTTCTCCTTTCTTGTCACCTCTCATTGGCTTTTCCTTCGTGATAACAGAGAATTGGTTAACAGTGTGGGAAGGGAGGTTCTTTTTGGGCCTCTGCCCTCAGCTGGAGGCATCTATCCAATGGATAGCTTCACTCCTGCTCTTCTACATCCTGGAGATTCCATGGCTTGTCCCTTTGATGATACAAATCTTCAGGTATGGATCCAGAAAATCAGTAGGGAAAAGCTTGCTTCAAAGTACAAGAGAGTCTAGGGATTCACTATTTGTCCCTAAAAGATGATGAGGTGATCTGATTTCTGCACTGCCACCTCCCATCTGATTTAATCTCTTTTGAAACCAAGATCAGCTAAAAGCATTGTGACTTACACAAACAATGGGTCCCTGGTCATGGGATAAGACACTGATAGACAGACTGACCAGCCATAAAGACGCCCAACTGAACCTACATCCCACCTGTATTGACTTCTACAGTTGATTTTTCAGTCACCAAATAAAGATTTAAAAAATGGAGGTAAGTGACTTCTGACAAAATCTGCAGAAGGAATACAGCTACATACTTTCTTCCCTTCCCA